ATCGAATGCACCTGTATCAAAGTAGACACTGCTTTCGAACTCATAGCCATAACCATTCTTGACGATGCCCTGAACGAATTCGACCACTTCAGGAACGTATTCAGTGACGCGTGTAACAGTATCCGGGTAACGGACACGAAGCCGTTCCATGTCTTTGAAAAATAGACCTTCCCAATATGCTGCAAGAGAGCGGAATACGGACTGGTCCGTGACAGTATTTTGGAGCTATGCACATGGATAATTGAACTACCAGAAAGAAAGCATGACAAGAGAAACTAACTTTCTTGTCAAGGGCGGAGGCGAGAATATCACGAGACTCATCAATAAGTCTGAGCGCTGTGTCACTGCTACTTTGATTGGCAGATAGTGCATGCCTTGCAGCTTCAATAGCGGCAAGGGTCCGATCCTACATTGCCAAATATTGATTATACGCCAGGTAAAGCACAAGAGATCACCTACAGCAGCTGTAAAATGCATGTCAAACTTCTCGTCTCTCTTTAGGCATTCAAGTTTGCGGCTCTGATCCCGCGCAAGCCCAGCAATTTGTGGCCACCGTACCTCTTCATCCCCTCTCGAGGGTTTCTCTTCATCCGGCAGGCCCTTGGAAACGTTCTCCCTGACATAGCTTCCCCATGCTTCATTGATTTGTGACAGTAGATCGGCTGAAAGCGCAGTTGCGGAGTTTCTAAATTGTGAAAAGAGATAATTTTGACGCGCTCTAACGATGATCTTCAGGACGTGTAAGACGTCGTTTCGATCATACAGCTAGGTGATCACGCACCTTATCGTCTATGTCGGTAATATTCATAACAAAGTGCACGTCATAGCCAAAGTAGTCTGACATTATTCTTCGCAAAATGTCTTGCGTGACATAATTTCTGAAACCATGTCAAAATTGCAGTATATTCACCAGGGAGTAAACCCTGACCTCGCGTGACCCATGTGAGAGGCATCGTAGACTGTGGGACCGCAGTTATACCATTTGACATGGGAACCATCGATAGGTATAAATTCCGTCTATCAGCAGTCAGCAGATCGATCTAACACCCAGTTTCAGACACGCACTTTGGTCTTGGTTAACGAATTGAAGATCTTAAGAACAGGTTGGTCAATTTGACGAGGAGGTGGGTGCCATGCCGGTTGCCGAAGAGCCATCACTGCGTGCTGTAATGTATTCACTGACCTCCTGTGGGGCGCAGATGCTCGATAGCCAGAACGAACAATAATATTGACCGGAGTTCTGATCATGCCATGAAGCCAGAGCTAGCTAGCTGGAGTCACAAGTGTGCTTATGTAATAAGCGCTGCGGCTAGTCCAAAGTTGACGCGGGTCCCGAAGTACTTACCATACTACTAGGTTTCGGTACTTTCACATATCCAAAGACGTCCAGCTTCATGCCAGCATCTCAATCTTTCACCGCGCTAACAGCGAGACTGAACCCTTCAAGGTGCTTCAAAGAGCGCTTGTCCCGCTTTCTTTCGCTAGCGTAGGTTGTGGCCGCCGATCGGAGGTACTTCATGTGACGTTGAGTATTAATCTCTTTTCATCCGCATCGTCAAGTGATTCGGAACTTCGTCCACTGAAAGGAAACTTGGGGACCTCTGAATCTTACGAGGGAAAAGAGCTAGCTCTCACGCAGCGGCGATCCCTATAAACAACGTTCTGACTCCTAAACTCGGCTGCAAGATGACAGGTCCCCCTTCGTATTCGTCTACCGGTGCAATCCGGCGTTGTTCTCACAGAATCCTTAGATTTCACATGAAACTCCACACGCTCTGTCGATGTGGAGATGCAGTGGTCCTATCTGATAGGCTCTCAGTCACAGTCTAGCTGCTCAGGGCATATTCAGCCTTGATCTGGATACAATCGAAGCTGAGCTCTCGGCATTGTACTAGCGGATCGAAGCAACGAAGGTCACGCAAGTTCGCTGAGCGGTAAATACATTCTGAATGGGTAGATTTTTTTTCAAATTTAATGAAGCCCACTTAACTTTAGTCTTTTAGTGATAATCTTTCGCGCTGTCGGAAATTATAGTCTCGTACGTTTCGCTCCCCGTTACTCGGAGTCTGATCATGTCAAATACAAATTCGCGTTCCATGTCCCAGCTCAAGGTTTGCGAGACGGATGTCATTCGCGCTGTCGGAAATGACAGTTTCGTACTACTCCCCATTCCTCGGAATATGTTAGGTCCGATCGAGTGAAGATGCAATTGTCCAATTGTTTCAAGCTCAAGGTTTGCTAGACAGGTGAATACTTTCGCTATGCATCGAAGCTGCCGAACGATCGTGGACCATAAGTTCTTGACCTAACCACAACTAGTTTGTGATTGACCATTCTTGATGAACAATCCAAGTTCTCACTGCTTTGCCAAAGAAGGGTCGGTCGCAATCTATATGCCTTTCTAGGGTTTAGTCTGAGAGCGTCTCCGACGAACGAGGGTTACCCTTAGACTTTTGGTCTAACACAGCAAGATCATCATGATATCAGACCGGTCACCAGTGGAGTATGCGAAGGTGAAATGCTGCGGTGACCTTGATGAGTCTTTTTCAGTGTAAAGCGATGCAAGTATGACACCTATCTCGCAGACAATAGACCATTGGCGGCCGGTGCCACGGGGAATTACCTAGTACGTGAGAATCTCGAGTTTTGTGGGCAGGTACTCTGATTGCACTTAGAATCTTTCCCCACCCTGTCGCCGATAACGTACCTTGCAATTTGAATGAGCACTTCAGAGAATTGCACTTGTGCCTTCTTTCCACATACCGCCGATAATATCCAGCGACACCCACATGATACTCAGAATAAATACTTAGAATATTTGATTGGCCGCGAAGCCCTGCGCGTTTCGGCTGTCGAAGAATAGTAGTGGTTCCTATTTTTTGTTCGTATCCATACAGTGCCCCGCCGGAGATGGAATAAGATTCTAAAACTCTATTTTGCTGCATACCCACTCCCTCAAATTTGTCCATGAAAAGGCCATGACCGTCTAACCGGTTTCCCATCGGACTGCAAAGCGCTCAACCACCCGTGCCGCGGTCAGCCTATCAGGTGCCGTGTTACATCAGAGCGAAAGTTAAGGTTAGTATATCATGATGTTAAATTCTCGTCAGACTCCCTTGCCCCTCGTTATTTAAGGAGCTTTCCCATTCCATTAATTATTTAGTCTGCGCCCATTCCAACTAAGCAAGATCTTTGATCACATCAGGTGCTGTGCAAAGTCCACCATTTATCATCCCCAGTCGAAGTCATCACTAGCTGTGCGAGACATTGCCACCGCCCACCTATTTCCTCTCAGATTTCTCCTCCCTCCTTCATCATCCTCAACATGCAACAGCAGCCCACCTGCACTAGCCTACGTGTGAGGTGAGTCATTCATCCCGTTTCCTGTGGCGCCGTGACTCATGACTCGTAAGATCTCCGCAGGATGCGCAGATCATCTTTCACGCCGTAGCACTTGGAGTTTTGCCCATGGTCACACGTCGTCTCGACACAGAGGAACGACGTTCGATAACCTCGGGTTGTGTTTTCGTTTGGGAGGAGCGAGGGCCCAGCCCGGAGGCTACCGGGGTGAGACTTTGTTGATGGCCGACTTCCATATCACGCGCTAATACATCCACAGCTGGGTATCGAACGATGGACTGACGGCAAGAGGTGTGATTTATGATTGATACGTTGATTGTGTGAAAAGACTAACACTGATATGAAGGTGGGGTCCAAGCCGGGTCCGCGACGTAAGTTTATACCTACCTTACGTCCATTTGTCATGACTGAATGCTTTTCAGGAATTTCTTTTCTATCAAGAGAGAGACCCTGAACCCGTTGATATCGAGCCAAACTCAGACTCCGACACTACGTCTGTCCGCTTTTCCCTTGTTTCCATCCGTCTGACATCTCAGCGACAGGATCGGATCAAGTCCCCTAGCGCAACCCGGCGTGAACCATGAATACGTTCGCGCCAGTTTGGTCAAACAGACGTATTCCGTCTTTGTTGAGACCCCAATTGGACGGAAGAAATGGCATCTTAGTACGCGGCGCTGTTCTAGTCATTGAAGTAGCCGAAACCTAACTTTTACATTTGCTCAGTTGCCTATTTCACTCATGACAGCCTTGATTATCTCCGAACTGTGTCTGACCTTCCCGACCTCGCTCGTATCGTTGTGCCTCCCGGGAACTATAGAAGCGCTCGACACAACACGAGCAAGCACGGCCGTGCTCAGCGAGAAGAGCGACCACACCCTTTCACCCCTCAGTATGCTCCGTATCCCTCTTCTCGGGTACCAGTGATCCAGCCACCCAATGACTGCCTACAATCGTTTGACTACTCAGGGCGTGCACAGCCTCGAGACGGACAATCACTAGCGCCTCTTACGTACCTTCAAAACCTAGCTCCGCCGCGAAGACACCCATTGGATGAGGAGGCTCTAATGGCTTTTTACCCTCGTTTGTGCTGAACTTCGTATTGTGTTTTCTTCGCACTGTTTTCTATGGACTGTAGAATTAATGATCTCTAAACCTATAAATGCTGTGATGTTGTCATGTTCACCATACGTCATTCTCTTGGTTTGCCATCTGCAGTAGCCTATCATACCTATCTCGTGTTGTGTGTACTTATACTTTTGTCTGCGTTACTACCTACATTTGACTACATTGGGATTTGACGACATAATTTAGCTGCTACGTCCTATCAATCCCCTGAATTGATCCCTAGTCCCTAGTTGAGCTTGACAACCACACGAATTGGGCGACTGTACTTTGTGTGACGCAGCACGACTTGACTCAATCGCACAGCTTTTAGTGGACGGACGGGACAAAGCAGTGCGCAGTTAATACTTGCCTGAATGGTGCTGCTCTTACGAAGGTGCCGTGTGCGTATACCCTGAGTATCCCTGCTTGCTGATGAACGTGTCAGGACAAGGATGTAAAGACCGCAATCGGTATTATGATACTGCTCCAGAACACCACTGTCCCCGCATTATTATCTTATATATATAGTATGATATGGCATCCCTGCATTCGGCTGCATTAATCAAGGCCCCGGTACATTCTAGAACGTAGGAAGTAAGTGCTGTTGGCTATGAAGCGGCCAGACTTGGTGCTTTGAACTCAATGGCCGGTGGAGCAGTGATACCGTTCGCCAGGGAAAGTCAACTCTAGTACTGGCAAATCATGCGCTGCATGTGGCATCAGGGAACCATTTCACAAACAACGCCCATCTCATCGATTTGCCCTTGCCGGCTCCGACCGGTTCTCATCATCGTTCTTGTCCTATCCCTAAAACGGATTTCAATCGATCCAGACAGCTCTGACGTGGCCATCATATGAGATATGTTGAATAGTTTCAGCAAGAATGGGATATACAAAGATAACGACCAAACATGCATGGTGAAAGAAGGACCAAAGCGACTGACGGTATTGGGTAAGACGGGGTTCTTGGTGGGCATGATGTTGTGCGATAGATCGGAATATCATGAGAACATGGCCTATTACAAGTCTCGGTCCAAGAATGCATCCGCAAATTGGCGATGAACGGGACGAACCTTGAAAGATGCTCCAGGGCATAGGCTATTGAACGTGGTTCTTGATGTATGACACCCGTATTACATATGAAAGACCATAGGTTCTGGCAGGTTGCAATCAAGCGGAAGAAGATCTGGTCTGACCGCGCCGTGTGAGCGCATCTTGAGGATCTGTATGATGATATGTATATGTAAATGTGGGCGCGATAAAAACTGCAGGAATGAATGTCAGAATGATTAAAGATTTAGTATGATTAGACGTTTTGCTAGACCGGCATCTTGTTGAACAAAGGTTGTGGTTCAACGGTCACTTTGACCTGATTTGATTCAAACACGTGGTGATCCCCTCGAAGCTTGAAAGCTTGACGTCTTGTTCAACGAGTTGAGGAGCTGGAGCGGAGCGTGCGGATGGGCGGTTTCATAGATTGAAGCAACCCTGGAATATCTGATAATTATGTAAGGTAAAAATTATCCGAAATTATGAGGTTTTTGAATATTTCAATCTGAGCCAGACTGCCGCGGGGAACTGTTTTATTTATGAGATATCAATTCAAAGAAGTTCCGGGATTTACCGAAACCCAAGGAAAACAGGGAGGGGGGTGCGTTTTGATCGCAGTTAGAAATATGGGGGACTTGAAAGAAATTGAGTTGTAAAGTGATAGAGTTTCGCGCTGTAATCGAGATTGGCGACAAGCCTTTTGGGTCGTCGCCACCAATAAGATTCATCAGTTAGTTTCCCGAATTGGCCCAAATTAGAGCAACTGACTATGAACGGAAGTCAGCGGATACCCCTGGTACAGAAAATAGTTTAATTAATTACCAAACCATCTTCTGCTCCCCAGATCTAGTAGCCAATATATACCATACCCATTCTATTTGCCTTCTCCGTCTGTTTCCTTGTCCCCGTTTCACATCACCACACATGCAGCAACGACCCACCTGCACTAATGTTCGCATACGTTCCACTCGTGATGCTCATAAAATATTCTATGCAGTCCAGCTGCGTATGCTCCCAATGATAACAAGGCGCCTTGACGCCGACGAACGTCTCGCCTTATGTTCAGGTTGTATCTATGCATGGGAAGAAAGAGGCCCACACACCGAAATCACAGGTCTGGGAATCGAGCGTTTTACCGAGGGACGTAGATGGAGTCCCTCGCGTGTCAGAGACGTTTGTGCTTCCAAAATATGTCTTGTGACTCTGCTAATCTCCCTTCAAGGAATTCCTTTTCTACTATGAGAAGTATACCCCTCCAGCAGACGCCGGTCATTCTGGGTATGTTCCCGCCTTAAAAAAATTGTTCCTAAATTTACTATTTTACTAGGGCTTCTGAAAAGCAGCCCCCTCGAGATTGGGATCCACTTGTCAAGCAAACTTATTCAGTTTGGGTTGAAACGGATAAAGGTCGCCGCAAGTGGCACTTGAGTAAGGACATGTGACATTCCAAAATACGGACCTCACTAAAGTTATTTGTAGCCGCATACTTCACGCAGGCCACAGTCGATGAGCTAGGCACCATAGATAACATACCGGGTGTCGCTGACCTCGTGGTGCCAGAAGGAACTTTCCAAAGTACCCGAGTTGGCAAAACCCGCAAGGGGGACGACAGTCGCTCAAGGTCTGATGTTCTGAAGTCGACGAATTCCACCGTAACTCGGACGTACGCTCCATTCCCTGCATACTCTAGCCAGTCTTCCCACTACCCTAATTCGCCACAATCACCCTATGCTCAGCCGGATGATCCATACCGCCCAAGTCTGGGTCAGTCTTCGCAGCAGCTTCGTACGCTGACATCTGAAATCCCTCAGTATTCGGTACCACCACCCCCTCCTCCACCTTCTCTTCCTCCTCTTCGTCCTTCATATGAAGATGACTACAAATTTCGTCGTCCCTCACTCCCAACCATACCCCCACCAGAGCATAGCTCATCGTATTATGGCCGCCGAAGCTCTGCCGATTACTCCGTGTCTGGAAGTATTCCTCCCTTGGCCAGGCCTCGTACAGACACATCATTGAAGCCCTTTACTGAGTATCATACCTCCAATGATCATGGGTCTTCTCCCGCGTTTGGAGCCAGTATGAATCACTCTCCTGCTTCGAGTAGCACAAGTGGTACTACACACCGTGCGTCTGAGGACGTCTACTCTTCCCGGCCTTTCTCGTGTTCATACAACGTCCGTCCATCACGTTCTCCGCCGCCTTCTCCTTCATGTCGCATGCGACCACCATCTACCATTGGCAACTTCCAGCCTGTCTCTCGAGCGCCAGATGATGATGGCAGAGAACCAAGCCAGAGCGCATTTTCGCTTGATAACTCGGCCAGCTTCCCTTCCCCTCATAATTCACCACCCATCTCGCTTCCCCCTCCCGCGCAGCTCTTCAGGTCAGAGCCTCCCCCACAATATGAAGTGCCATCTTCTGCGGATTCAAGTAGCATTGGACCGCAGCGTGTTGGCTTGGCGCCTTTGCATTCCTTGCAACGCAGTCACCCTTACAAACGAGACCCTGTGGACGATAGAGCCCTTCGGCTGCTAGGACCACGTTCCGGGTGACTATTCGCTGGTTGCCTGTCATCAGGTGATAAGTGACATGTCATCGCATCACTGTCCGCTTGCGTCCATCATTCTTGCGTAAGACGCACATCGCTGACCCGCGGGAAGAGATGTGTGTACCTGTGATTAGGCGTGCTTGGCTTTTTACCGAGCAAGCGTCGTTTTCTATGCGGTCCCTAGTAGCAATCAAACGTTCCTCTTCTTCGCTTATGGTACGTTATATATCCATAACCATTCCTCGGTACATACTTGGTCTCGCGCTGAAATCGCGCTGTCAAATACGAATACGATACATGCACAACATGTATACATACACATATATTGTACTTTTGGCTATTTGAGAATGCCGTCGCGGATAGTTTGTCTCGATCTTGTGTGACCTTGTTCAGTTATATTAATATCCTAGCGTGTGTATAAAACCAACGTCAAGCCGTAATATCTTATGATAAAAGTACAAAATGCGTGCCATTATAGCGTATGTAGGGGTCTGGAGCGAACCTGCAACTAATATGCGAAACGAATATAAATATATATATATATAGAATGGCTTGAGAATGGCGGCCTTGAACTTAGGTATTCGTCAATAAAACTATAGATAAGGCTCGGTGAAAATAAACTCTTTCGTCCGTAAACGAGATAGAGACGATGGACAATACTGACGGGGTTATACATCGGATAATCCGTTCGGTTCAACGGCAAATTTTATTGCGTGTTCACGGGGTTTTGTCAGAGAAGTATACTAGAACGATTCAAGCTGAGCCGAGACAATGGAAGGTTTTCTACGGCTTGGCGGGACCCCTTGGCATGAACTTTGTATTGCTCCGCCTTGTTGGTCTGCCGGCAAGTTCCCATGGCACCGATCGCTCAGGTTCAGACTGCTTGCTTTGGTTAAAATGATCAAATTTACGATGCCTGGTAGAATACACTGGGATTAAATGACATGAGGACGAAGCTTATGTCCAAGATAGCTGCTGAGGAAAGCAATGACGGACGAAATTTGACAGCTGCCTAGTAGTAAAGCTAGCGCCGTGACTACCACTCGAATTCGCTGCGCGGTGTCAGTGCCAACTCATCAATCAGATCAGGACCACGCACCCTGTGCATTTGGCAAATAGATAGTCCTTCCCATTGATATGGATCATACCGTCCTTGAGGAGGCATTTCCATTTGTTTTTGACACGGCCCACCTGAGAAACACAATGAGAAATCTGGATCAATGGATGCCAGGTTTGCCCACCTTATCGTATGTGCAGAACACAATATCAGTCTCGCCTTGTCCACCCTCTTCAGCATCTTCTTCGCCCTCAGTGTCTGAGTCGTCGAGGTCGCTGTTGATTGCCTCGGCATCCTCTGTGTGCGTCGTCGATGATAACTGCGATGGCTGGGGAAGCGAAGGGTGAGATGCACGAGGCGCAAATGGCTGACTAGGCGGAGGAGAAGGTGAGTCTGATTCAGACGATGAAGGTCCATCAACCTGAGGGATCCTCTGCCCTGGTGCTCTTGCTTGAGGTGCAGGAGGACTGGCCGCGGGGGGAGCGCTTGGCGGTTGAGGAGCTTTAGAAGGTGGCTGCGGAACTGGGGGCGCGTATGGCCTAGGCATGGCAGGTGCCCGTTGTAGGTGCCCTGGGTGAGGAGGGAACGACAGTACGCCTTGCTGTCCTCCTGGAAAGCCTGGTGTTTTGAGACCGTTCAATTGAGGCCCAGGGAGCGGTGGTAGAGCGTATGGCATGCCCGGGGGAGGAGCACTTAGGACGTAACGATTATCCACTGGTTCTGTCTTGACTTGAGGACCTTGGGGTTGCGCGACAGGAGGTGGTGGTGGAGCATATGCGTGCGGAGGAGGATAGTGCGGGTGATGGGGAACCATCATAGGATGCGGAGGGTACATATGATGGTGCTGTGGAGGCGGAGGCGGCTGTGGCTCAAACTCTGCAACATGCGATGCAATGACTTTGCTTTCCCATTTCTGCAAGAGCATTGGTATCACCGAAATTCTTACACTATGATATGAACGGGAATGATAAGAAGTATATACTCACATGTTGCAACTCTGCAAGAACTTCTTCGCTGACGCCGTACTCGTCGAATTCGGGCTTAATGGCGGATATGACTTCGTCTATGACCGCGCGGTAGATGCCAGGCTCAAAAAATGTCTCTGTTACCAGACTGAACTACTACAGACAAGTTCGGGTGAGCAGCTCACCACTATCTTATTCGACATTGTGAATGTCGCCAGCGACGATTGACACAGCGAGCTTAGGATAGGGTCGTGGTGGGGGAATGAGGGAGTCCTTTTATACTTCAATGGCCTGCGAGAGAGGCAGGTAGATTCAAACTCAGCTAGACATCATATGCGGCGTTCCCACGCACGGGCCAACAGTTACAGGTCAGTAGTACTGGCATTGACTAGCGCACAACATACAGTTATAAATCGCAGGTACTTATAAGACAGAATACAAACTTCTTCCTGTAGCCTAAGGCGACGGACGTGTCGACGACGACCAAAGGCGCTGATTAAGGTGGTATAGCGTAAGCACCATAAATGGAAAGTGAGAACTTGACAGTACACCATTCCGCGCAACTTGATTAAATCCTTTGTGAACATGGGTCGTCGACTTTGCAGCGCTCTGTCTTGTCTGCTGTTAGCCGGTTTATCGCAAGCAGCTGACGTATATCTCAGCCCATCTCAAGAATTTCCATCCCGGCTCTCCCTTCAGCATGCTGATTTTGCCTTGTCGCAACATCTGGGTCTCGAGCCAATCGAGAATTTCCAGAATTATGGCGAACTGCTAAGAGAGCAGGAGTTTGTCGCACAAGGGGCTTCAAACGCGTTATTTTTACTAGTAAACGATGCTAGTTTACAAGGTTTGGTTGTCCCACTCCAGGAGCAAGTGCAGTGACAATTAACAAGTCGTACCTTCAGACATCACTCCTTCTTTCATGAGCCGCTCGTTCTCGATTGCGGGGGCATCCACTAGTTCCCTTACTTCCTTTGTGCCCTCGTATCTGAAACGCGCCACTCATTCATACTCCCTCGTCTACTCTGATCTCGCTATTCCCCCAGAAGGCATCCCTCGGACCCTTGACATATTTTCTGCCCCAACACCCGCAAACGAAGCTTTCCTTGCAGAAATATCAACACTTACCAAATTTATCGAGACAGCTGCAGATCTTTACGATGACAAGTTCGCGTCCTTGGAGTTAACAGGACTGTCCCAGCTCGCAGCTACATATGGTCGTTCAAGCGACCAGTACCAGCTTGCAGCAAGAACAATCCGAGCAGTTCTTGAAGCCAGTACTGCTGACGCCAAGATGCGCGTCGCCGTCTTGTCCTACACCCCCTCTCTTATGCTGGACAAACGACAACCGCAGCCACCGCAGCAGTCACCCCTTCCAGGACTCCGCCCATCCGTGGGACCACCGATTCGTCAATTTGCCTCTTGCCTCACGAGCGCTGAGGCCTGCTCCAACGCGACCAATGCTTGTTCCGGTCATGGACAGTGCGTGAGCACCCCCAGTGCTGAACAAGAATGTTTCGTCTGCGCTTGCTCTGACACCAAGTCTGCTTCTGGGAAGACGGAAAGCTGGGTGGGCGATATGTGTCAGCGCAAGGACATCAGTAGGTAAGTGGTTGTATCGTTTCTCTCAGTTTTAGTCGTTAACTGGGTTTGTACCAGCACCTTCGTGTTGATCGCAGGGACAGTGATCACACTTATCCTCTTGATGGGAGGCTCTATTTCGTTGCTTTACTCTATCGGTGGCGACGAGCTTCCTAGCATCCTCACAGGTGGTGTGGCAAGTGGATTGAGGAAAGAGTGAGAAGACGCCAATATCTGTTGCATAATAGGCTGGCTCGTAAATCTTGTCACCAATTGCAGGTCTTCATGATGTATGATGCTATGATGCCACTCGACTTGGCGGCGTACTATTCTTCCAGACTGATATTTGACAATTTTCACAAGTCTGAGGTTGTTGGGTATGAAGACTTCTTGCGACATACTGGGCAAGGTTAACTTGGCATGTTGTACAATTACTCAAATATTATAATCTCAAGCTACAAATTTATGATTCGTCTCGCAGCTCGACCTCGAGAGCCGCGCTGCCTACTCAAATATGAATCACACTACTCATCCCATCGTCCATCGCTCTGCGCGCACCAGATATTCAATTCTCCCGTGCGCTTATACAACGGCATACAGAGTGTCAATCTGGTTGACTCGGATCTGTTCACCACCATGCTGTTCGAAAATTTGAAATATCCATACGTCTCAATTGACTCCTGTCCGCCCATGTTTCGTGTGCGACTGTGCTTAACATGTATTAGACGTTATGAGGGTGATGGTATAGGGGTCTGGAATTCGCTTCCGATTCTTGTCGTGGTAATCGCCAAAGCAAGCCCGGCACGATTGTTATTTGTTGAGAATGTCCCCAACGAAACCAGGATGGCCGATGAGGCTCCGCCTGTCCTATACAGATTGCTGAAGGACGAATACAAAGAGATATTCCTCTACTTTGTTGCGCAGTAGAACAAGGAATCAAGGGTTCTATCAAAAGTCAGTGGTTTCCCTGCGGGACCCTCTCATGTTGTGTTATGGGCATCGCAGGCTGCGTGCCGTCCCAACACCCATATTGATATTCGTGTTCTTTATCTTTATCTTCGTCCTCACTCTTCAGGAACGCGCTTGATGAGCTTCAGCGCCGTGCCCTTCTTCACGTTTGGTACCCACACAATCAGCTTCCACATCCACGACACCAGTCCTGCCATAGAGGAAGGAATACAGACGATGATCTAGACCTATTATTAACACCAAGCCATCCGCTCATCCACTGGGCCATAACACGCATATCTCACCTTCGATAGTCAATCATCCCCATGATTAGGTACATGTATGAACCGTTCGGGGCTCAGTATCCCCCCGCGCACGAATTGACCAAAGCAAGCCCGACACGGGTGTGCCCAACGAAACAAGGATGGCCGCCGAGGTTCCGCTTGTCCTATACAGATCGCTGAAACGCGAGCACGAGGAGATATTCCCCTACTTCGCCGTGTAGCAGAACAAGGAATCGAAGGTTCTATCAAAAGTTATTCGTCCATTAGTCCTTCCTTACTCCGTGACGACTGATACTTCCCTTCATGACCCTCTCACGTTGCGGGCCTCGCAGGCTGTGTGTCATCCCAACACGCCCGTGAATGCGGAAAAGAAATGAACAACGTCCATAAATTCTTATCGCATGGTATCATGATCGTTCCTCTCCGTCCTGATATTCGTGTTCCTCATCTTCATCTTCGTCTTCACTCTTCAGGAACGCGCTTGATGAGCTTCAACGCCGTGTTCTTCTTCGGGCCTGGTACCCACAAGCTTAGCTTCCACATCCACGACACCAGACCTGCCATGGAGGGAGGAATGCAGACACGATCTAAAACTATTATTAACACACTAAGCTATCCGCCCACCCACTGGGTCACACACGCATACTCACCTTCGATAGTCAATAATCCCCATGATTAGGTATATGCATGAGCCTTCAGGGGCTCAGCATCCCCCGTGCACGAATCAAAGACGCGGAGCTGGGCAGGCTCGAAGTGTTGTATGAAGAAGAGATTTTTGAGTGCTGCAGGCTTGGGCTTCGCATCAAGGTTCTCTGAGGTATGAGTGGGATTGCTGTAGGGTCTTACGATGGTTGGGGAGAGGGATGGTGAGTATCCTGCGGCGCGGGCTGTGTTGAGAGCGGCGAATGGGTGAGTGATAGGCATGGTAATTGGAGGACGTTTGGAAGCAGGCTGTTCTGTGTTGCACACGATTAGCTTAGCGTGAGTTGCAAATAAAAGGACGGGTTTCATGGCCAATGTTCTCACTGAAGTCGGCTATCTCTTCATCTGATTTCTGCAGGGCTTAGATGAATAGTCAAGTATTGATGTCCTCCGAGGGATGTTGGCGACGATGCGTGGTGCGTCATCAGAGCTGTCGAATATGCAGGTTGTGGAAGCAAAGGAAGTGCCTTGGGCAGCCTGAACCGACTTTGACCTGTTGAGGCTGGCGTGTGAGACATTACTAGGCTTGTGCTCTGGCAAGCGGTACAGCCTGTCAGAAGCCGAACCGAATGCAGTAGAACTAATTGATGAGCAGTGAATGCATAAGTGCACTCCTGGCGGTCTCCTTGAGAGCAAAAGCTCAACCCCTTTATACGGCACAATATGATCACCGTGAACCCCAACAGAATTGATACAGCCAAACGGCCGTACAGATTCGTAAGCTAGCCGAGGCGCACTGGTATTACCGACAACCTTCGAGTGATGATTTAAGTCAAAGGTCTACAGCAGGTTGCATGGAATTCGATGGAATTCGAGGGGTTTGTTTTTCTGCGGTAGGATTAGACAATGTTATGAAATGAACGTGTTAAACGGACAGGCCTGTTTTAGTGATAGCACTGTGCTTCTACGACTATCGTGAACACGCAACTCACTGCAATGTTCTTCTTCAGTAAAGCTGGGCAAGTTAGAATCAGATTATCTATGCTGAACTGAATGTAGCATTGCACACACCTGAGGATCGAGACCAGATTGTTTGATATGACTCAACTTCAAGTAATGAAGTACATGGCAGACACTCATGGCAGACACTCATCAGTGTGCACTTGGTGTGTAGCTTCCGATTCATGAACTCCCTCCGGTATATCACTGAGTTACTGGCCTGAAACGAGTTCCTAGACAAGGGGAGGTTTGCATGAAAAGTGCATAGAACGACATGGCAGAGCACTTACCCACAAACAGTAACCTCCTCCACAACCGAGAGCAATGACCCAATATCATTAGCATCAACTCTGCTGAGCATTGCATCCGTCTGACAGGTTACCACCGGCACGTGGAAAGATGCAACTCTTAACGCTGCCAAAAGACAATCGACTTCCAGCTTGTTTGGTGGTCCTAGCATGGTCCTGCTAAAGTCAATTTCCTCAACATGAGAATATGAAGTCGGTTGAATGTCCCAATAAACCCTTGCAGACAGTCAAGCTTTCAAGATCCGGCAACGAGATGCGGAGGTAAAGGTCATCGATTCAAGGTAAGCATGCATCGCCGAATCACTTCCAACAACAGTACAGATTTCGTCCACCACGAAGACCTCTAGACAAGTAAAATGTTAAATGAACTATACGTCTCGCAGGAGAGCAGACTGGAGGTGGATATGACGTATGTTTAGATTTTCGCACATAGAAATACGTGCGATGATGTGGACGTGTTCATAGCAATAGCAAGTATCGATGCGTAGGCGAGAAAGATTCCGTGATTTAGTAGATGTGTGGAAGTCTGTCCAGCAATACTTCAATGTGGAAGTTATGACTTCAGTCATTGACATCACCACCGATTTCCAACGTCTCCTCTTAGAAAGGAGGATCAAGAATTCTACCATTGAGTAATCCAACTCTGAGCGCTGCCTACGTTTCTGGGCAATGAGAAGGGTGAGAGCCGATTACCAGAGCGGGCAATCACTTGGGGATATGTAGAAGAAATGGCCTGGCCCTCGACGGTCGAACTCGTAACACGATCTGAGCGGGGGAGGGGTGACAACATTGATACCATCTCCAGATGAGAAGATCCTGGGGCAATCTGGCACGTCATCAACGATGAGCAAGGATACTTGTTGAAGTTCTACTGGCAGCCGATAAATGAGAGGTTGACGGGGAAGGACATGCGGACGAGGGATGAACAATGCATGGATCTTGCGCAAGAGCACTTCTTTGTTCTTCTGATAGGCTTCAGTCTGGAAGTGTGCCAAGCTGCCATCAGCCCTTGTCGACGACGACCACACACTTTTGACAACCAGAACGATTTGACCTTTGGCGAAAACTACAATAGCAACCGGTTAACATGGGTGTTGGTACTCCATTTTCTAGGAAAATGACACGGCGGGCGGGAAGGCGGGCGGCGGGGGTGATCAATTGCTAGAGGTGAGCATGCGGCGCCTCCTGATTGGTAATCAATTTGAATCAAACAACAGTGGCCGGGCGGCTGGCACACAGACAAAAACCCCAGTCTATAAGTTTTACTTTCACTCAACTTCGCAAATTATCAATACAATTGACCAGTCAATATATTCGTACACTTTCAAAATCATAGCCTATGAAATTTCACTACCCAAGTCTCAGGTGGTTCCCCACCACCCGGAAAGAGTCTGCTCCTTGCAAATGCTTCATCTTTGATAAGCCCCGCGAACGCAACACGAGATCCAAGCCAATCAACACGGAGCAGTAACCTCTCTCGCTGCATGGACATATGATTTGGCACTAATGCGCCGGGTGTAGATCTCACCGTTGGCCTGGTGCGTGCCGCAGAATTCGAGCTCCCCTGCAACGCAGGTTGTATCATTGGGCGACGATCACGTGCTCTGATAAGACTCGCGCGCCTATCGTGTCCAGCGGTGCCCCACTCCGTGTCTGTGAGTGGGTGTTGCAATGCAGCATGAAGGGTAACGAGAACATCAAGACACGTCACGCCTTCTTCCCCGGCACTAAGGTCAGGACCGATGTCAAATGTCCAAGGAAAGTCTGGGCTGATGAGCCGTATCTGTCTAGGCCGTTCTGGGGTGAGTGGGACGAATAGCAGCTCGTACCCGCAACCTGCATATAAAGATGACAATGGAAAAGCGAGGGATGTAGGCGGGAAGCGCAGGTCGTATCTTAGTGGCACGAATGACATAGAGAGAAATGGGTGGGGATAGGCTAATGAGAGAGAAGCATGAGGAACGATCGGGATCACAAATTGTGTCTGAGGCATACCATTTTGGGTTTCGTTAACGTTTGATGACACTGTTCGTGGAACAGAATGGTCATCTAGAAGAGAGATTTGAACACCTTGCAAGTTAATAAAATCAAGACGCGTACATATTGGCCGCGAATTGGGGATGTTGCGGTCGACAGGACTTATTATATTTGCGGATGCTAGCCGAACAAATTAAGCTTGAATTCAAGGTGTGACCATGGAAAAGGCGAGTACCTTGTACCCCCAAATTCATGCATGAGTGATGTCCATATTGGAGATGAACGAGATTTGAACTTGAAAACTCTAACAACAGCTGAGCATGAGAGCCGTAGAAGATTATCACAGCTCACGGGTATGGGCAGCGTTTATCTGCGAACGGTGCGAAGGGATATTGTTTGCTACAGTAATATGCCGTGCAGGTGATGTAACATGGGGAAGCTGCACTGGGGTATGGGGCCACCCTGCGTAGCGAGCATTGTGAAAAACTTGAGGCAAGATAGTAGGATTACGGGTAACCCATTGGGAGTGCCAAGGGGGATGTGTTGTAGAAGACATCAGGGAGATGACAATGGTGTGTCGAGACTTGTGAGGCTCGAGGCATTGCGATTGCGGGGAGGGCCCGTTATATAGTAGTTTTCAGGCATAAGACTCATTCATTTCCATTACATAATAAGTAGCTGCTATGCATTGTAAACGGACCCCAAGCTCAATACCCAAGTAGGACCCCGACCACAAAGCCCGGTTGTCTTCGATTCGGAACCTGTACAACAAACACAGGAATTGCGGGCATAAAGTATATATAGCCTTGGTGTCGTTACTAGACTATAGATGAGGTAATCGCAGTCCACAAAATCATACGTCGCTCGCTCGGATCCTTTAAGCTTTAAGTTCGGAGTCCTTCCTGAGGCCTCTCCTTCCTAGAGCTAACATTAGTATAGTATCAGTCCCTCACAACTGAGTACTGAGTACTGACTAGTGACTCCTGAGTGACCCCATACATGCTTATGGTTGTCACTCATCCGAGAAGTTGTGTCACTTCAAAGTACGTTGAGATCAAAATAGGCTCCGAAGTTCAAGTTCCCACCTGGGAGCAGACAGCGCGGACCTGAAAGCCACATCAACCAGCACCCCATACTGTGCGTTTTCTCATGTCCCTCATATGACCGGAAGGTAATGTGATCCAGGAGTTACTGAAATAGAATCATTAATGAAGCACTTACCCTTTATATATCCTGGTATCCAAACGCCCCCATCAACTATATAGTATCTTCTGCCCATCAAGTTCGTGTCCGAAATGAGTCAATGCTTTGAGCGCGTGGACACTCCACAGAAGATGTTTGATCCTTACCCGCTCACATTTTTACCCGCTCGAACACAAATGTCCTCATAAATAGTCTTTGGCTCCCACGACGATCACTTTGTAAGGATGAACAACTCCGAGTGGGGATGTCAACTACGCCACGGTTTGTTATATGAACTGAAGCAGCGGAATATTACATGATATAACTTTGGCTTGGAATAGATTCCGGACTCCGACCACACATCAACGTTTCAACATCATACCCACTCCTGCACCATCACTTGGCAAACGCTACTTATTCGAAGTGTAAAATTCACGCCCTAATAGGTTATCGCAACTCGGAATGCACCTGTAGAGCCTAGGCCTAGCCTCGAATTTCCGTATGGAACTTCCCGCTGTAGATACCATGCTACTATGTCGTCTACTTACAGCCTCAATTGTATCAGCCGACCCGGGGTACCAAAACAATAACACAGTCTGTCGTTCCCAAGTCCATTATCCCAGTGAGATCATTCACTCAGGCACCCATCAGCACTGCGCAGCAAATGCACCCGAGTGCTAGACTGGCGTGGCTGGCAATGTGCTTGCCTCTGGCAGACGGAAGTTGGTGTAGTCTCAACCTGACTGAGGTCTACCCCTACTGAAGCTATGCAAATGGTGGTAAATACTCGCTTGCATCCAGTAGTCTCCCTTAGTCAGATCATATAGAAGGAAGACAGCCATTCCTTCTCGATTACGACCTGCACTACCCCCCGTAGGCCTCACTCCGGCGTTGCCAGTGTACACCTGACAAGTACTCAAGTCGCTAGGTCTGGTCGGCGTATCTGCTCTGTCGTACAATGAGTATTGGGTCGATGTCGGTCAAACATCTCCTGAAAACGACACGATTTCAATTCTCCAATGCCCGTCCTGCTTATTTCCGTGTCGGCGTTGGCTCAGCGACCTTCATTGACAGCCCGGGACTTTGCAGAGATCCAATGGACCATATTCGATGGCCCGAGGACTTTAAGTGATCTAAGGGATCACACGTGGTGACCAAGCGGTGGCCCGGGAGATCTATTGCACCATATGCGTATATGTCATAGGCTGACCCATCGCGAAGATCTTGCCATATCAGGTCATTCAAAATCATATTATCTGTAACTTAACTTCACCGCCCGGAACGTTGTATATCTGAATATCTAAGCGGATAATTGGATGTAATAAGTCAGGTTGGGTACGAGGTTGTGGATCTGTGAGAAGTTCATCGGTCAGTACCATGTACCATGCCACTGATCTGGCTCTGAATTTACTTACTTGGGAATCGTCGACGGTGCAATGTCAGCAGGACCTTACATGAAGGGCGGTGAACAAGGAGCGACAACGGGAACCCAGGAAAGTGCGTCTATAACCCGACAAGGACGGGAAAGTAGTCTGGCATAAGCTCCACGTCTGAGTTCTCACACAACTCGCATTGGAAGTGCCCCACAGCTTCCTAGACAATAATCATAATCATGGTCCGGATCGTGGGACGAGCTGTTTACCAGAGTCTAGACTTGCCAATATGCCACAGGCCGACTACTGGCAGTGGGGTCATAGTCAGCCCATATCCGGTAGAGCACCCACCGCAGGATTTATGGTGTCACAAAGGGACATGGTCCAATCACAGAGTGATGAAGGAGGGAGTATGGGTTCGGATTTAGAAGGTAGCTGTATTGTGTACAATGCGTCAAGGTGACGTGGACTTCCCTCAGGAAATAAACGTGTTCGATGCTGGCTGCCAGTGATGATAAAATCAAGCTAGACCAAAGTTAGGCAGACATGATTGCTCTGGAGTTGACTCGCAAAATGCCGCCCGTGTCAGTAGAAACCTTGTTGTAGCTGACCACGGCGTCACGGTGATCTACATACTAGAAGAACCGAGGGGAACAGAATCGGGTGCGAATTCAAAGTCCCAATCAACATCAACTGAGACGGCAAGATCCGAGTATGAGGACGTGAGAGGATCAGGAACGACAACATGCAGGCAGTGGGCTGAGACAAACTCGCACAGTTCTGATTGACTAGTCGGTGTCGATGAGCCAGCGCTCTATATTATATTTTGCATATCATGATACGACGGTCAATGTGAGAGGTCATTCACGCGTTCCGCGTTGCCATCATGGTGTCCGCACAATTTCCGCATCAAGATCCTTCTTCTCATCATCAGGAGCTGTTGCACGACTTAGATTTCATGCAGGCAGTTCGCAACGGTCACAAGTGACAAAATCTCGATGAAAATAGCCAATAGTAAGATATTTGTACATTTTCTCTGGACCTTCAGAGTCATAATATTTGGAACTTCACCATCCACGTCTCAGGGTGTTTCCTACCACCCGGAACGAATCTCTTCCTCGCAAAAGCCTCATCCTTGACTAAGCCCATGAATGCAACGCTGGATCCAAGCCAGTCAACACGGAGTAGTAGCGGCTCCCGCTGCCGCGGCACAGGTCTCTCAAAGCTTACTGTGGGTCTGGTGTGTGCCGCAGGATTTGAGCTCCTGTGCAATGCAGGTTGTATCCTTAGACGACGGTTGCGTGCTCTGATAAGACTCGCACGTTTATCGTCTCCAGCAGCACCCCACTCGGTGTCTGTGAGTGGGCGCTGCAATGCAGCGTGCAGAATAGAGAGAACGTCGAGACACGTCACAGCCTCTTCTCCGGCACTTGGGCCGAGGTCAAACGCCCAAGGAAAGTATGGGTTGATGATCCGTATTTGCTTGGGCCTCTCTGGCGTAAGTGGGACGCGGAGGGATTCGTACCCACAGTCCACAAATGGAGATGATTGTGGAAAACGGAGAGAGGTGGGCGGATGGCGCAGATCGTATATTAATGATACAGATGGTGGCGCAAGAAATGGATGCGGGAAGGCTGGTGGGATATATAAGAATCAATCCATAACCACAAGTGCGTCTATTAAGCCGTACGTACCCTTCTGTGTGTTAAGGTTTGATGGCATCATTCGTCGTGTGAAATGGCCGTCTAGAAAAATATACAATTGAACATCTTGCAAGTTAGTAAAACGAAGGAGAACACGTACGTATGAGCCCTGCATTCTCTGTATCATGTTGAGCTGTGGTACGCGTCTCAGGAACACCTTGGAGAGACAGAGTATAAGTACCGCCTTTATCACCCAGATTAGGTCATATAATGATCTGAACCCACCGTTCCATGTCCATGAATGAGAGACGTTGCGGAGTTGAGAGTCAGCATGACCTATTGTATCAGCGGATGCTAACAAAGCAAATTGAGCTTGAAAATAGAACCATAGAAAAGAAAATCACCTGGCGCTCCGGAATTCGTGTAAGGGTGGATTGTATAGGGATGAAGTTCTAGTAACAAATGAGCATGGAGCCGAATGAATTTAGAACTGCAACTACCATTGGTGGTGGTAACTTCATGGGGATGACGCGAGGAGGTATCAACAGTCAAAGCAACACTGGGAAGTTGTATTGGGGGTTGGACCCATCCTGAATATCGAGCATTGTGCAAGGCTGGGGGTGAGGTGGTGGATCTGAGAGTAACATACTGCGAAGGGGGGAAAGCTGTGGAAAACATGGGGTGAAGGTGATAGTGTATGGAGACTTGGGATGCTCAAGGCATTGTGATGAGGAAGGATTATATACGCTTCGATGACCTGTATTACCTGGCTAAAGATACATCGGGAAAATCACTTTTGTGACAGAGGACCATTTGTGACAGAGGTACCATTTAATCGGGGTTACGAGCACGCACGCGTGATTATGAGGATGACACGATAAGCTAGTGTCAAACTTGGCATGAGTTCCAAATCAGGACGGCACACGGGAATATCACATAGTAGAGCATTGCCTCTCTTAATATTTGAGTGTAAAAGATGCACGTATTGTCCAATTACTGGGGTGCGATGAAGTTGACCTGCATACTATGCTTCAAGATCTATGATCCATGTCAGTACTGACAACATAAATTGCACAAAAAGACTTACTTGCGTTAGACCCGGCGAATAAGCATACGATGTACCTGTCGTTGCTTGTGTTTTGACTTCTGTTACTTCCTCAGCTAAGTGCCAGGGGAGTTTTGAAGATGATGAGAGAACCTTCTAGAATTAGCTAGCAGAACTGCGGGTCAGTCGCCTTCTCTCTAATTTAGCAAGCACCGTGGGACTTGAATAAAGAGCCATGATATGGAGCCCGAAAAATATGAGAAACGGAGCTAGCTGACAGCCGGTATTATATACGATGACCGCAAAATCTTCTGAACTGCACGCTCCTAAAGGCTGCAGTGAGGATCTGTCACATTTGCGTGGATAGTGTGGATGACCGAACGTGCCGCATCGTCGTTGTCGCAGTTATTTAAATTTTTGGACCCACTCCTCCAAGGCCCTTCATGCCATGCAAGCTTCGGAAGTCCAAGTATACACTTGCTGAAACATTTGCCTCTTGCTCTGTGGGAGCTAAACATTAAGCTCCCCAGCTAAGTGTGCTACGAGCACCTGCTGCTGCCACGTCAATTGGAGTTCTGTTTGGGGATGCAAGCCAATTTGATTGTTTCTCGAGCAGTCAAACCGGTGATTGACGTACCCATAAGTCATACCAACGTCCAAGTAGCGCTCCGGGTGAGGAAGGGATGAGGCTGGAACTCTTACGTATGGCCCATCTAGATCTTGTGCTACCATTTATAGGAGCATCCGGATCTTGAAACATGCAACTGACCACCGTAAGATCTCCGTTGTGCCAGTGTCCATCTCCACTTCTAGTTCATCCATAACTTCTACAGGAAACCTTGATCAACATAGACGTGAGATAAACTTTTCATCACGTACATGTCTGATGCGTGCTGCACATCTCTCTCAGCCGTCTCTCCCTCTCTTAGTTTTCGACTTCCTCCGATGCCTCTACTCCCAATATTATGGGCTGTTCCTGGGTCAGTACGAGAAAACAAACGAGGTAGAGTGATTGAAGAAGGAGGTATAGATTCAAGACATAGTTGTGGCCAGTACTTGCGGCGTTCGGAAGTGGGTAAAGTAGCGCCTAGTATCTTATTTCCAGTTTAAAAAAATTGTAAGGTCAAACAGACCCACTCGAGGGTGGCCTGGACCTGTGACAGTGCTGTAATCCCACAACCGTCATCGTGGATGTACGCGGGATGCACTTCTTCAGTACAAGTGCGCGCCAAAGTTATGAGCGAATGTTGGACACGATTCAAAATTGGATATCGAGTCCCGGTCTCGGTTATCGGAAACCTTGCCATATGAGGAGCAATAGCCCATGTGAGGTGCATATCTTTGTGTGTATGAACGTGTTAAACGCACAGGCCTGTTTTAGTGATAGTGCTGTGCTTCTACTAGCTTTAGATTCACGAATTACTAAGTTACCGGCCTGAAACGAGTTTCTAGACAATGCGGGATTTATATGAAAAGTACATAGAGCGACATGGTGGAGCACTTACCCACAAACAGTAACCTCCTCCATGACCGAGAGCAAAGGCTCAATATCATTAGCATCAACTTTGCTCAGTAGTACGTCCGTCCGAAAGGTTACCACCGGCACATGGAAAGATGCAACTCTCAACGCCATCAAAAGACAATCGGCTTCCAGCTTGTTTGGTGGTCCTACTACTAAGGTCAATTTTCGCAACATGACAAGATGAAGTTGGCTGAACGTCCCAATAAACCCTACGGAAAGTCAAGATTGGACAACGAGATACTGATGGGAGGGTCATCGATTCAAGGCAAGCGTGCGTTGCCGAATCACTTCCAATAACAGCACAGATTTCATCCACCACGAAGATCTCCAGACAAGTAAAATTCATTTAGATGGAACAGACGTCTCACAGGAAAGTAGCCTGGAAGTGGAGATGATGTAGATTTAGATTTTTGCACATAGAGATATGTGCAATGATTCGACGATCCACCATCGAGTAGTCCAACCCTGAGTGATCCCTACGTTTCTGGGCAATGAGAAGGGTGAGCCTTGAGGGCTATTTACTAGAGTGGGCAAGTAATCACTTGAGGATATGTGGAAGAAATGGCCTGAACGGTCGAACTCGTCCGAAGAATACGACCTGGTTAATAGCAGGGGAAGGGTGACAACGTTAATGATTGAAATGATCAGTGAACGAGGGACGAACAATGCACGGATCTTGCGCAAGACACCTGTGACTCCCTTTGGGACTTGACGAGGATGTTTGACAGGCTGTGCTTCGGCAATGTCCGCCTGTATTGTCTTTTTTCTTTCCATATAAGGACGGAGCGTTTGATCGCGCGGAACCAATTCGCGTTGACAGTACTGGCAGCACCGTGCGTGCTCCACTTGAGTTAGGCACGTACCTCCCACCACTTGAACTCATAATTTCTTTCTCTGGACATATTTGTGCCTCTTTATTTAGATAGCAGTATGTATATACTAGGGTTCGGCGTTGCCGAATTTAACCTTGCTTGTCTGCACTCTTACTAAGCAGATACACGCAGGCTGCTATATTCTCTTGTATTGCTTCGTACAGTGCTATGTTGTGCTACATGTTTGTCAGTAATTGGCTGTGCATGATACTGTTCGGCGTTAGTTGCGAATTTATATGCATGTATACAACCAGCTAACCTGTTTAGCAGGAAATTGATCAATATCATCTCAGCTCTGGTCACGTCGGTTATTGTGTTTTCGATGGATTGTGTTTGTTTCATGATCAAGACACTTGGATTTCCTTCACAGTGAGCTGTTGGAATGCGTTTTGGAATTGAGTAGACAAAGAGTGACTATATTTCTCACAGCTACCATATCATGGACTCATCAATTCACTGATGTGTAGCCTTACTATCTGCTGCAGTCATGATGCACGAATGAGCATCTGGAAAGCGCTGCACACTAGCCACTAAGTCACTGCATTTGTGTTTTTCTGCTCAATTCAGATTGTTGTCTCCCATAGCAGCTATGATTTGCTTCATGGTTAAGTTATCAAGCGCAGAATTGAGCTTTTGCGACATAGTAGATGGTACTGGATTGTGATTGTAGAAACAAAGTTGTATACAGTTTATTGATATTTATTATTGTTTATTATTGGCAGAAAATCCCACACACATTGTCGCATGCCATATGACCTTGCAAGCAAGGTGACTATTAATATTGTAGCGGCGTGTGCGCCAATCCCCGACTCGGCTGACAAACACCGTTACTCAGTACTCAGTACTCAGCGAGTATTGGTTTCCCTTTCTTTGTTGACACCATACTCGGGCTTCCGATTTTAACAATACCACTTGAATCCTGGCCTCTCATGCCTTCTGATCCGCTCGTCTGGCCTGAGTGTCACCAATTACGATTTAACGCTTTGTTTGACAAGCCGTTTGAAGTCAGGACGCCTGAAGGTAAGATAGACAAACTTGAAGGATTGGGTGAATCACAACACATTACCTTGCAGAGCAAGGTCATGTTGGATGGCAGATAATCTGTCAGTCACCTGACATGAACATCATGCTGGAGGGTATACTGGCATATTTATCAATACAAACCCAGGGATAGTAACAGGACAGTTTTTGATACTTAGCGAGGATCCCCAGCCCCTACAATAGTATGCATACAGGCTTCTCTGTATCAATACTCATGCCAGGGCTGAAAAACAGCTTCTCGGGCATCACCGGCTATCCTATTCAGGATGTACCTTAATTCCTGCTGTGCTTCTGCGCTTCTCGGTATCAATTATCCGGCAAGCAGCAAGCCGAGTGTTCCTCACCCATCCTATTTGGGATACACCTTCTTCTCCCATCTAAATATATCACATACCTTCGGTTTTCTGTTCCTATTTAGGATACACCTTCTTATCCTGTCTAAATATGTTGCATACCTTGGTTCTTTAGATTGACGCATTCCAAAACAAGCCCTATGATATTTCTTCTCATTGTATCAATACATACGCACGTGACATTTGACCCTATGATATTTCTTCTCGTTGTATCAATACATAAGCACGTGACATTTGCCACCAAAATTTTGCTAAGTCCTGTAGACTGTCTGCTTCTCGTCTTCTCGTTGTATCAATACATTAGCACGTGCCATTTGCAACCAAAATTTTGCTAAGTCCTGTAGACTGTACAGTATTAAAAGCAACATGCTTCGCTACTAGTAAGTCCTGGGCCCATCATGTATCAATACAGTAGCATGTGCTGTTGGTGCCAATCAAACAATTGTATCATCAAGAATGAATATATTTGCATTGATTAATACATGGTACAAGATTAAGACAGCGCGCGTATATACATGGTGACAAGAACATTGAGAAAATGCTCCCAATGAGCTTACAGTGGCCTTCTTCACGCGACGGACTTGCGAGATCTGCAAAAAGACGCTGTGACCCTTCTACACCACACTGAGAATATTTGACTTACCTCTTTGAAGTGCCGCCAATCTTGTTAGCATCCGTCAGATGGGTTGATGGGAGGCGCATTCGACTGCCGCGACGGAACGACTGATTGAGTACATCATCAAATGGTTGCACCTCCTCCGTCGTCTGGTCCACAGTGGTGCTGGCAGGGCACATTTCGATGCTCGTGGACATGTTAGACACGGGGGCCTTCGGCACCAAATCAATTGTGGTTGTAGGAGGAGAAGCAGACGGAGATACATCTGCTACAGGCGCGACTGCTGTAGGTGAGGTAGGAGGATAGGCAAACGGAGGCACATCTGCTGCAGGTGTGGCAGGAGTTGCAGACCCGTGAGTTGCAGGAGCAGCAGAAGCGAATGGAGACGCTGCAGGTGTGGCAGGAGGTGCAGATGTGTTAGCTGTAAGAGTAGCAGAAGCAGACGGAGGTGGGGTGGGAGATGCAGACCCGCGAGTTGCAGGCACAGGCACAGCCGGAACCATAGGAACCGTCGATACTGGGACTGCCGGAGGTGCACGGGGAGACGTTGATGTTGAATCACAGAGGTGATCATAGATAGAAGGGGCCTTAGCTTTACCCAAAGTGACAGGACGCGCGCGGGGTATTGTCTTGCCACGGCCAGAAGGACTATGTGAAGCCACACGCGCAAAGGTGGCGCTAAGACGAGGTGGAGAAAAGCTGGTAATCCTACCAGCATCTAAGTCCTTCTTCCATGCAGTGATGGGCGTGTCTGGGCTATTCTGAGAAAGGAAGGGAGGGAGTATTGGAAGGCCGGACTCCGTGTCAGGTTCAGGCTCAGGTAAACTAAGGTAAGGGTTGAGAGACTCGTAGAACCCAGAATCGAAGGAACTGTTGGGGAATGTATACTCATGCGGGCCATGGGAAGTTGGGTGAATCATTGTACGAAGCTCGTTTTCAGCGGGGTGTATGGATACACCTCCACCTTCCACGATGGGCACAGAGTCAGAAGTTGTTGGAGGGATGGGATCGAATGTAAGAGGAGTGGGATCGAACGTAAGAGGAGTGGGATCGAACGTAAGAGGAGTGGGATCGAACGTGTCGACCCCACTGAAAACGTCGATGTGCTCCAATACTTCAGGTGGTGCAGATGTAGCACTAGTAGCTGTGAAAGTTTTAAAATTTCACTTATAATTAAAAGGTCGTGTACTTACCAAATGCGCCCTTCAGAAACATGGTGAATGGTTCAACAATCCGTTTGGTGTGGTCGGGAAGTGAGTCGCGGAAGGTGAACCCAGTGCTCCCCTTCCCATGGTGAAAACTGTCCGCGCATTAGAATACCTTTTCCAATGAGGTAGCAGCATATACTCACCTGAAAACACGAACGTCCCCATTTGCACGTGGATCCGGGCCACCTAGGTATATGCTCCCGTGCCAACCAGTTGTCTCAAATATCGTCTCTAGTAGTTGCCCGGCTACCCCACCCAAACCTTCAATATATCTATTTGTATGTTAGCTGCACTTAGAAACTTGAGTGAACGAAAAACAAACGTACTGAAGTTTGAGAGAGTCTGAGGGATTCCGCAACCCCTCAAGTTCACATTTTGCCCTTTCAGCACGATGCCGACATTCGGCCTTCGCCTGCTCCTCCATCTGCATCACATAGGCTTCGCCGCGGGCTGCCATCACCTTGCTGGCTTCTGCGCAAATGCCGGACATGCGGGTGTTTTTTGTGTACTCACCATTCTCCACTTGGGCCGCAACTTCTTCTTTGATCGAGGAGTCTTCCTTGTAGTCCGTTTGTAAGAAATGTTCCACAGCGGTAGGTCCACGTGTCCGAGCAGTCGAAGTTGCCATCAACTTGGTGATGGTCTTGGTGAACTGGGTGTGGCGTGCCCTACCAGCAGAAGACGCTCCTCGATAACAGTAAGAGCGCAGTTGCTGCATTAAGGTGGTTTAGCCGTGAACCGAAATGAAAATGTATGTAACGTACTCCCTTGCGCTGCTTAACGAGTTTACCTAATTCTTTTATTTGATCACTTGTTAATTCAGCCTCGGTAAGAGGTATCCCAGTTGTGCTATCTTTGAAATGGATGCCAACTTCTGGCCATTTCACAAACCATTCTAAGCACAACTGGTTCAAGTATGCGGAGACAGAACCCTGCAGCTGACTCAAGCGGAAGCCATCCATCTTAGACTTCAACCAAACAGTCTGTTCGTGAGTCGTCCACGAGGCTCCAGGCATCTATTGTTCCCATCAAGGTAAGTAGGTATCAATACAAGATCGTGTGACACACATACAGTATGTTTTTTGACGTTTGATAACACCGACACCTCCGACTTGTATGAATGCCCCATATAGGACGGAGTTTCAACTCTATTTCCAATTCAGCCAATCAGATGAGGCGTTTATTTTTCAGCCCTATAAGCCCCGTGTGTATGAGAAACTTAACGTCAACATTCACAGCTAGTTCAAATTCGCAACATTCCTCCTGTTTGATCAATATGAAGGTCTACCCTGATGAGGACGACACCTTCACCTTGACCGAGCTTTGGAGTGCATTACAACTGATATGCCAGAATGGTAAGTTTTCTTGTCATCATTTTATTTGTGTATCTGAGATTGTATATATAACAAGTGGCTATTGACAACGGATCCCACCAGTTGACCTTTGCCCAGAATAGCCCTGCCCGAGCCGATGGTAAGTGTCATTATGTCAATCAAACCTAACGCTGACGCTGATTTCATATGAAGGTGCGGCTGATCCTGCCGGTGATGACCTCAGTGACGACGAGTTAACTGTCTCGCAGCCTCCTCCTGGCATTGTTCCAGCCCAGACGCAGCCTCCTCCTGACATTGTTCCAGCCCGGACTGCTCAACCATCCACATTACTTGATTCAGCTGCGCAAACCGCTCAACCATCCACATTACCAGCTGCGCAACCTGTTCCAACTGTCACTGCGCAGCCTCTGGCACAAGCGCATGCCAACCCTCCTGCCTCTTCACGCTGGTACACTATCACCGTTGGGCGTGAGACAGGCGTCTTTCAGGGCTGGTATGTTCTCTGACACCCTAACCGTGTTTCTTTGAATTCACTCTAACTAATTGTTAGGCACAGTGCTCATATTCATGTTGTTGGAGTCCCGGGTGCATGTTTTGCTCGTCACCCCACTCGTGCTGCTGCTGAAGGAGCGTACACAGAGGCACTGGCTGCTGGTGGAGTGACGCAGGTGCCGGCATGATGTGAGAGTCCACGCTGCACAATGTAGATGTATCTATGTAGTCTATTTTGTCATATTCTTGTCAATCAATCGCATTTTCTTGTTCACAAATACATCGTCACCTGAGACAGCCGAATTCTAGTCCGTCGTGTGACAAATGTTGTTCAAATTGGACTCTGGGCGTACATTCATGAAGATGTCTCGGGATATGTAAAAAATTCTGAATGTGAGCAGTATATAATTCTGCAAACGTGCTACTCTAACGCCTGGTGAAGCCCGTCTCAAGCTAGTACAGCACGCACGATGCAACGATGCTACCAAAGTAATTGTCCCGAAGCTGTGGCAGTGCCACCTAAGTAAGTACTATGTAATTGTGTTTGTGCTTTATAGCATTTGCCACACCTTTGCCTCACCGCAAACTTCACCTCCCGATCATACCACTCACACTCTCACTTCACCCAAAAAAATGGGGCGGCATCGGAAGCCTTCGCCAGAGCGCAAAGAAGCACGTAAACACTCAAAACGTATACACTATGCACGGTAAGTGGTTTTTTTTTCATTCTTTTTCATTCAATTCAGTAACTATTACTCAAACGCAAGGCATCTGGGCTATGAACGAATCAAAGCACGGCATAGATGGAGGCGGTGTCAGGGTGCTACAGAGGTATGTTCATAATTTTGGAGGTTTAAGACATTTTTATTCGTTTTATAGGCTACCCTCGATGCTTTTCATACTATGGAAGACCTATGGACCAGAACTTACACTGGAGGTAGCCGAAATCACAACGGATGTGAACCTCGCATTATTGCCCTTCTTCAAAATGTGGACGAACAGGGCTGGAGTGCGGTTAGACCTGGGTTTGCGGGTGAATTAGCGGAGGCGAGGATTTTACTTGAAGAAGTCGAGACACTGGCAAGTTCGGTTACCAATTTGGAGGGTCCCTGTACTGTCCAGCTAATGACCGAATGTTCGCGTCTCCTCTGCCGTGCTCGTCTCTGGCTTGCATCAGAGGAGGAAATTCTCCGGCTTATGGATGAAGGACCAGATGTCCTCGACGATGCATTATTTACCAATAACTTAGTCTGGCAGAGGCCCTGATCATTAATTACATATTCGAATCGCTGTGTACTCACATGACAAGCTTTTTTTTGTTGATCGATCGTTTCTGTTGATCGATCTTTTTTGTTGATCGATCATGGCCCCATCTCGCAAGCGCAAATTCGACAAATATCAACGCCAGTTTATTGCAGAAAATCTTGCTAATGCAGCACAACGAGCTGCAGCAGCTGGGCATGATGATGCGTGTTACGCACTCAAATAGATCTGTTAGGCGGAGCCCTAAGAGGGGCGTCGTCCGCTAACGTTCGTGACGTAACCGGAAGGGTCCGGTATAGCAAGTGAGCCTGGCGACGACGAGTCGGCAGCGATCACAGTACGCGCGTGTCACGTGACTTCGTAGACGGATGTCGTGAGAAGTCACTCAAGGTCAGGACTGTCTTGTCTGGACGATGAGGTCGATCGAGGTAGACTTAGCCGCGATGAGCGACTAAGAAAAGATACTAGAGACTGAAGCTGAGGGGGCTTCAGAGGGAAGTATGTTCCAGGGAAGATTGAGTAGATTCAAGTTAGAGAATCTAGTACAAGGTGACCGACTACTTATACTAAGTGGAGAGGGTTAAGGGCAAGGCTACCGCACAGTAGGTAAGGGTAAAGGGGATACGGGAATGGTATAGGTGCGTTGGCAACACAGCCGGATTAGTGATGGATGGTCGAATGTGGAATGAGACCGAGAAACGTTGGAACGGACCAACGGTAAGAATACAACGTGCGGGAATCCGCAGTCAGGGGAAACAGAAAGAGGAAAGCCACGTTGGTGGCACGAGTCAGACCGAGTCAGAGGTGCGGGACCACATTGGTGGTCGAATCAAGAGAGGAACGTGCGTGCACGTGCATAGAGGCGGATGATGCGAGGGACGGGAACGGTCCCGAGGATCCGGTCAACGGAGAGTCGGTAGAGAAGGACGAGCCGGTAGATGGTGAGGGCGAGGATGAGGGGAAAATGATAGGGGGGGCCACGTGACCGATGTTACTTGTAACAATGCGGGGCCTGGCACTTCATGTCACACACACACGTCTGTTGACGTCACTAACAGACTCCGTCCTTTAGCCAAAACGACATATTTCTCTGCGCCCAATGTAATCTCACCAGCCGCTAATTATGTGCCATCAACACTTATTTCTACACCCTCCGAGTTGGAAACTGATTTCGTCGTTGAAGACGCTTATATAGATTATATTGCGGACACGAACTTCAATCCAGAGCCAGTCGGAAAGACAAGCAAACGCTCACCAGGAGTATGTGCATCTCACTTCAAGTTCTTTTACCTGTCGCTAATTTTTTGCAATTAAAGGACGACCCTAAAAAACTGTGGCTTCTGGAGAGAGACATTTTCCTTCGCGAATTCATCAGGCTCGAAAGCCGTGGGGACACGATGTTGTCTCAATTCTGTCACGGCCTCCATGGTTGTGACAACGAGCCCGTATATCGTTGTAGCGACTGTGAAGGACTTCAAATGTATTGTCAATCGTGCGTGGTAGCTCTCCATTGTGCCATGCCCCTGCATCATGTCGAGGTATTGTTTTGAAAGTTTATTTGCCTTCTAAGTTCTGATCTTCGATTACACACAGGTCTGGACAGGCGAATACTTTCAGTGCACCTCCCTTCGCGATCTTGGGCTACGCATGCAACTCGGGCATCCCCCGGGGGTCTCATGTTGTAACCCAGTGCCAGCATTTGATGCCGAATTCACAGTTCTTAACACTAACGGTATTCACAGTGTTGCGCTCGATTTTTGCAACTGCGAAGCCGCATAGACTCACGCCATTCAGTTATTGCGTGCTCGATGGTACCCTGCTACAAGTACTGACCCTCGAACGGCTGCTACCTTCCGACTCCTCGATCATTTTCAAATGTATACGTTCGAATCCAAGGGTTCTGCATTCGAGTATTATCAAGCTTTGTCTCGCTTGACTGACAACACAGGCGCAAAGAGGCCCAAGGTAAGTCTTTCGCTATTTCATACATATTATGACTAACTATATACTAGGACCGCTATGAATCCCTCCTTCGCATTAGCCGCCAGTACCGCCATCTAATTGCCCTCAAAAGAGCAGGCCGGGCTCACGACATCTCTGGGATTTTGGGGACGGAGTCGGGCGAACTTGCCGTGGTTTGCCCGGCTTGTCCCCAACCTGGAAAAAACCTTCCACCACACTGGGCAGACGCCCCTAAAGAAAAACAGTAAGTCCAGTCCATTCACCTATACACGAGGGCTTATCTTGATCCACATAGGTGGTTGTATAGCCTGTTTGTCGGGATCGATGCGAATTTTCGAATGTGTCGTCGGAACAAATCATCGGAGCAAGCGGATCCCAGTTTTAGTCAGGGCTGGGCGTATTTTGTCGAGGATTCCGGGTTCAAGAGCGTCCTAGACACGCACGCGGGGCTCACACAGGAGAAGAGCAGCTGCACAAGTCATAACGCAGTGAACCTTGCGGATTCGAAGCGAGTGCGCGGCCTTGCAGCGACGGGCATTGGTGCCGTTGTTTGTGCAAGGCATAACTTCAAGCGTCCCTCGGCGGTAGGAGATCTCCAGAAGGGGGAGAGATATGTTAACATGGATTACTTATTTTTTTCAACAATGACACACTCGAGCGAGATTGTTGTCGTCAACGTCTCGTATGACATCGCGTGCCAGTGGAACAAACATCTTTGGGAGCGCATGTCTCGGTATCCCTCCAACATTCATCTGGCGCACACCAGCAAGACAATAACCTTCCTCGTGCCAAAATTCCACCTCCCCGCCCACGTCGCTCCATGCCAGACTAAATTCTCCTTCAATCTTATCAAAGGGATGGCCCGAACCGATGGCGAAGCGCCCGAACGCGGATGGTCCAATATTAATCCCGTGGCTACCAGCACACGGGAGATGGGACCTGGTTCGAGGCGTGATGCGCTCGAC